AGTTGGGCTTAAGAGGAAAGCCCATTTGAGGAGTTGGGCTCAATTTAGAAAATTGGGCCATTTAGGGACTTTAATGGGCTTTAATGAGTTTGGAAGGACTAGAAAGGATTGGGCCTAGGTCATGGCCCAAATTAGATCAAAAGGGGTAAAACAGTCATTTTACCCTTAGAAGGATTCTCAGTTTTTGACTAAGTGTTTATTTGGTCTTAATAGTCGGAGAGTAGTTGGAGCAGAGGACAGAGTTACCTTGCACGAGTTTTCAGCAGCCAGATTGAGAGGTGAGTTTCTCTCCAGTAGGAACAGGTCTAAGGCCACAATGCCAACTCGTTTAGTTGATAGTAGTTCCGGGCCTTGGTCCGATGTCGGGGCGGTCCCGAGAAGAGTATATGTATGCTTGATGTCTTTGTGATTCATGCATGTTACGTTATGTGTTATGTGTTTCGGGGTGAGCCCGATGTCGGGGCAAGCCCGATGTATGTTATATGCTTATGTTATATGATATGTGTTATGTGCCAGGGTAAGCCCGATGTCGGGGTGAGCCCGATGCCATACATGGTCTGATGCCGGGGTGAGCCCGATGTCGGTGTCCCATAGTTGTATTATCTGTTGTGATATATGTGTATGGTATGTGTTAGTTTGGGGGAGCTCACTAAGCTTCGTGCTTACAGTTTTCAGTTTGGTTTCGAACTACTTCAGTTAGCAAAGGGAACGGCTCGGGATGATCGCATGGCATACCCCACAGTTTTCTAGCATAGGAGATTTACTCTGATATTTTATATGAGATTTTGATATGTTGACATATACTATGACATTTTGAGATACATGGTTTATGATTTTATACTATGGTGATGATATTTATGTTTTGTTAACAATTTTAAAAACGAAATTTTTGGACCGTATTTTCGGGATGTTTCATAACTTCAAACTGATTAAAAATAATGTTAAAGAAAACAGAAACAAAACTAAAAACCTCATCTTTGGACCTTAACAAATAAACTCAAGTAGCTCTAGTGTAATCATCCATAATGGTCAAAAAGTATCTAAATCCTTCTAAGGTAGTCACTCTATAAGGGTCGACTAACTCACCAAGTTTATAAGTGACATGTTGACTGGTGGGAAAAGAATCTCTAGTCTATTTAGCCTTGTGACATATGTCACAGGGAGGAAGAACTTCATTTCCAAAATTAAGTTTATTTTTTAAAGAAAACAAAGCTTGATCAGAAGGGTGACCAAGTCTGTTATGCCAAGTAAGTTTGGAAACACAACACATAGAAGAATAGTTATTATTAACCCCAGAAATATTACCTGAAGGCATACTATCTATAAAATAGAGACCTCCAGATTCTCTACCATTCCCCACCATCTCCTTGGATTGTAAACCCTGAATTTTACAACTCTGTTCATTAAATACAACCTCATAATTACTATCTTTACAAACCTTATGAACAGACAACATATTTACATTGAAATCAGGCACAACAAATACATCGAACAAAGTTAAGGAATTAGATAAATTCATATTTACAATTTTTTCAATTTTGGCAGAAGTTCCATTAGGATGACTAACAACAAGATCTAACTTTGACACATCCACAATATCATGAAGAAAAGATTCAGAAACTATCATATGTTGATTGGCTCCTGAATCTACAATCCATTTTATAAAATTGATAGAAGAGTTAAAAGCTTTAAACAGAGAAGTACCTGCCATATTGGCACTAGCAGATGCTTCCTGATAAGTTGCAAGAACTTAATGTATTGATCCTTAGTGAGTTGATGAATTTCTGAGTCTCCAGAAGGCCTAGGTACATTGGAAGCAGAAGAACTTCTAGTAGAAGTAGTAACAAAATTCACAGAAAAACTTTTATTAATGTTTTTTTATTATTAGATTCACTTATTGATTTAAAATCCTTAGGATATCCAACAATTTTGTAACATTTCTCTATGGAATGACCTTTAATACCACAATGTTTACATTGAACAACTTGACTCTTATTCTTATTAGAATTATTGAGGTTATTATTAAACCTATTATTAAAAGCAGCAGGTTGACACTTTTATGTGACAAGAGAAGACCGAGAAGAAGAAAAGAACCATTTCTTTGAAGAGACTCTTCTCTAGAGACTATAGAAAAAGCAGTTTTGACACTAGGTAAAGGTTCCATAAGAAAATATGACTCTTAACCTGACAATAAGAATCATCAAGTCCACTAAGAAACTGCATAAGTTTCATGAGATTTGAGTGATCCTTGAGTTTAATAGCAACTTCACAAGTACACTCTGTTAAACTAGTTAACCCATCAAACTCTTTCCAAATAGCTTCAAGCTCATTAAAGTAATCAGACAATGAAATACCATTTTGTTTAAGAGAATTAATTTGTTGATGAATATTAAAAACCACATAACCATCAGATTTATTATATGTTTCAAAAAATATTTTGCCAAATATCCTCAGCAACTTCAGAATAAGCATGACTAGCATAGATGGATTCAGAAATTGATGAAAGAATCCAAGAACAGACCACAACATCAACCCTATCCCATTTAGGATGTTTAGTTTGATCAACACTGCTCTTTTTCAAAGTTCCATCTACTAGCCCTAATTTGTTTCTAGCTTTGAGGGCTCTAGACATAGATCTCCTCCACAATCTAAAGTTTTCATTACCGGTCAATTTCACAGTAACAATTGTAGTTATAGCATTATCAGATGGATGAATGTAGAGAGGATCATCAAAGTTAACTTGATCATCCTTTCCACTTCCTCCAGGATGATCATTAGGACCATCCACGAGAACAAATCTAGAAAAAATGTAGAACAAATAGCAAACAAGAACACATATAGCAATAAAGAACACAGATAGCAGACAACTGTATTGATCTAAAACAGTCTAGATGGTCACCACGTTTGCCGAGGCCAAGGACGATCAATATAGAGTCAAGGAAAACCAAACAAATGCACGAAATAACTGGTGTACTCAAGACAACCAAGATCTCCCAATAGCAGAAAATATAAAAAAAAGGAGCAGAGAAACCCTCACAGTGCAGATGAAAACATAAGACGACGAGTCTTCTCCCTTATCCGTTCCCTATTAGGGTTTATCGGTGATAAACTCCGACCCTTAGGGAGTTTTTTTCAGACAAAGATATTAATCGATAGGGACAATCGAATAAGTAGCAGAAGCCAACTTCAAAGCATCAAAACAATGTCGAAGCATCAAAGGACGTGAAATATGCCACAAATCACAACCAATCTACCTACAAGAACACACAAGATCTCACAGTACCAAGATCTTAAAAGATAACTGATATTTGTTTCGATTTAGGAAAAAAATTGTGGAAACCCTAGATTGAAACAACGAAACAAGATTGTCACAGTTTAAGTATGAAATCTAAAGATCTCAAGAAGATAACTCCAGATGTAACACAAACAGTAGCGATCTAACATAAATAAACCAAAAAAGGTCAAAGAAAATACCTTTAGAACTGACGATCAGAGAAGAAATCCTCAACAGAGGTAGAAGACGAAGAATCAGAGCCTATAGCTCTGATACCATGTAAGAAATTATGAAAAACATGAACTCAACACTTTCCCAACATCATCAATTCATTCACTATAAATCAGATGGTTTACATTAAACAAATTACAATGGAAAACCTTTCTACATTCACACTCTATCACTCTGGTTTATACAAGATTTACAACATAAAATGAGAAACCCTAATATGATACAAAGAATGAGAGATAAAGAAAATATTTGTGAAAATTAGAAAATGAGACTACAACTATTGAACCAACAGCTGCAACCACATATATACCCCGGCTCACAAGAATGACCTATAAACAAAAATATCTGGTTCATATTCATAATATTAACACTCTAGCCCCTGCACAATCAATAAGATACCACAAAATATCCAGAAATCAAATAAACAAATATTAAGTTTGAATATTATAAATGTATATATTTTTTACAAGTACTTCATCCAAAAGAGAGCTTTAGGTACCTAGGGTCTATGACGCATAAGGATGAGGTTTCGAGGACGACGTTACCCACCACATAAAGGAAGGATGGTTAAAGTGGTTAACAATCACTGGAGTTTTGTATGACAAGAAGATCTCACTGAAACTAAAAGGAATTTCTATAAGGTAGTGCATGTTCGGCACGGAGCGTTTGGGAGCGTTTGAGAGTTTCTAGCTTCTAGCGTTTGATAAAACGCTCCGTTTTGAACAGAAAGCCTTGTTTGACACTACAAGCTTCTAGCGTTTAGTTTAAACAAAACGCTCCAAATCCAAATGCTACTTCATGTAGCATTTAACAAAATGCTACAAGCTACCCGCTACTAGCTAATTTTGCCGAACACGCCCGTAGTCGTAAGGCCAACGTTGTTGTACGAATCCAAATGTTGGGAGACTAAGGAGCGTGAGAGGAAAATGAAGGTCTCATAAATGAGGTTGCTACAGTGGACTTGCCACATAAGGTTTTGTTGGACAGGGTCTCAAACTCGACATTTAACTCTAACTAACAATTGTATTTTATTTTCATTTATTAGATTTCATTAAGATAGAGTTTTTTTTTTCTTTTTGTTAGAGTTCATTAAGAAGATAAGAGATTGAATATTGCAGATTTAAACTTGATAACTCAAGTATGTTAATGTTCACCTTATATATTTTAGTAATGTCTTTGCTCTTTAAATCGAATTTTAAAATCCGATCGAGTAAATTGTACTTTGTTTGGTTCCGCTCTCATTTACATGTTTTGAAAACAAAAATTAATTTTAATTCACTTGATCAAATCATATTGAACCGATTCAGTCATCGAACGTATCTACAAAATAGTTACATGTATTATGTATCGGTTGAAGATGGTCTTACTAAGATAATATTATACATTTTGTTGAAAGTGTCAAAATAACATTATTTTAATAGTCTTCTTAGAAACCATTAGACTTGAATAAAACCAAATACAAGATGAAATGCAGACTTTCCGAAGCAATTATTTTCCTTCACAACCGTACATAACACATTTTACAGCAAAACCTGATCTATTTTGAACCTTTTTATTCCAACCATAATAGTAAGAAAATAAAACAATACAACAATTAACCAATTCGTTGATCAACGAACTATCTGCACCAATAACTCGAACCCCAAACTAGGAAACAATAATTTCCCAGAAGTATCAACAAATTTAGAAACTTAATTTTTTTGCAGCATTTTTAAGCCTGTAGATACCCTTTTTCTTCCAAATATGAAATCACTTTTTCCGCCATAGTTTCAGGTGAAGGACAGACCTCTCCTTCTTGTCGTAACACAATCTGCTCAAGCACATATGTTAAGATTTGTTGGCTTACTTTATTTAATTCTTTTTTATTCTTTTGTTTTACACTATAGAAAGATGTAAATTAAATCTTTATAGAATGTGGGTGAAGTTGAGAGATTAGTTTATTTTTTTTGTTCTAGAACAGACTTCAACCAACAAGGTTGAAATCTATATGATTGGAAGGCAATCCCTTTCGGAGTGCTTAATTCCCAAATGATCACCACTAGGCCATATTGATGTTAATGGAAAATTAGTCTATGTGATTGTAACAATTTGTCATATGGTGGATATTTCTCTCAAGAAGTGTACCTCAGAGTTTAGTGGTGCTTCATATGGATCATCGATTCCAGTAAAACCTATCAAGACAACACCGTAAAGTTACACCATGAATTAGTAACCATAAAAAATAAAGAGTTTAATTTTACCTTTAATCTTTCCAGCTCTTGCAAGCTTGTATAACCCTTTCGGATCTCTTGCCTCACATACACATAAAGGTATATCCATAAATACCTGTTAAATTACAAGCCTTATGTAAGCCAAGACAAAAAATTATATCTCTAATAAGCAAAAAAAGTATATATAAATTATAAAACAAACCTCGATAAAGTCTCCATCTGGAAGTATCGATCGACAAGCAGCACGATCTTTTCTGTAAGGAGATATAACACTAGCTATACATATAACTCCAGCATCAGCAAACAACTTAGCAACCTCTCCTATGGAATCATGAAAATATATATTAAATTGAGACGAAAAAAAAAATAAGAATATTGTAATTAAGAATATGAAAAATGATTAGAAAAAAGAACCCCACCAACTCTTCTTATATTCTCTGCTCGATCTTCTGATTTAAAAGTTAGGTCACGGTTAAGACCATGCCTAACATTATCACCATCAAGAATATATGTCAGCTTTCCTCGAGCATGAAGGGCTCCTGTTAATGCACAAGCCACAGTGCTCTTTCCTGAAGCAATAATCATACTACTTATATTACTGTAATCAGATGAAGAAATCACACGAAAAAGCTATTAGATAATTTAATTTAGAATTATGTTGAATTAGTTTATTAACTCTGGTTTTCATGTGATCCCTAATTTGATTAATCCGGAAAAAAGTCAACAAAAATTAATTAACATGAACTAACCTGAACCACTGAGGCCAGTAATCCAAAGAACACAGCCTTTTTGCTGAAGTAATTCCTGTCTATCGATTTTGTCGACCGAAGATTTATGCCAAACTATATTCTCTGATTCCATTCCATTCGCTAAGCTTTTATGTAGAATGGAACCTACACGATTCCGATTGGAAAACTTGCAGAATATACAGAAATCAAATGATTCAATCATAAATTTTTTAACGGATTTTTACCATTCGAATCATTCGTAACTGCATGTCCATTCGGCTTGACTTCAACATATGACTGCATTCTCGAACCTTCCATAGCTTTAATTGGCGCCAAATTCTTCGAAATTGACGTCATATTCCGTTGATAACCAATTGACGTTGTCCGGAATTTCGCGAACCCTAGCTTTGTTGACGGTGGGGGGTGAACAAAGTCCAACTCCGGCGAAGAAGTATAAACCAACGTAAATTTTGCAGATGCAGTCATTTCGTCGATTAGGGCGCGAAAGGATTAATAACTAAAAATCAAAATTTTAAACAGAAATGTATAAATCTAAATGAAGATTCGAATAAGAATCTAAGAACGGAAAGCTCCTATGAATTTTGAAGGAAAAAAAAACGAGATATATATATGGTGAAGGGAAGAGGAGATTCATACAAGTGACGGTTTTGATTGATTTAATAATTAATTTAATAATTAATTTAATACACGAAATATTTGGATCTAAGCCACTACCATATAACAATAAGAATACGATGTATAAATATAGGGATTTGTCAATTTGAAATAAATTATATATAGATATATATATATATATATATATATATATATATATATATATATATATATATATATATATATATATATATAGGGAAAGGATCAAATGAGAACACCTAAAAGGTTGAGAACGCGAGAACAGTTCTGGACCAATTAAGGGCATATTAGTAATTGTATATTTTAATTAAATTAAAATAAAATAAAATCAATCAAATTCCCTTAAATTTAGGATCAATTACCAAAAAAGAAGGAAATATTTGATTTTTTATTTTTCTTATTAATGAAATATAAATAACATTTTTATCAAAAAAAGAATTTTAAACTAAAAAAAATTATTTTATTTTTCTTAAAAAATAATTTTTTTCTTCTATTTCACGTTTTTTTTTTCGAAAAAATTAATAGAAATCTGACCCCCAATCAATACATTTGTATTCATAAACGATTTTTTTTTTTCAAAAAAACTAATACTACTACAATCACAAATGAATACATATCAATTTACAAGTAATCCAATTCCTTTCTTTTAATCAACCGAAAATAAAAGGGGTGTAAAAATTATCATTTCTTCATAAAAGAATACCTTTAATCATAAATAAATACACTTATTCACATATGATTACACTGCTATTTACAAATGAATACATTGTTATTAACAAATGAATACCCTGGTATTCACAAATGAATAAAAGACTACATGTAATCATAAATAAATACACTCATTCACACATGATTACACTGCTATTTACAAATGAATACATTGTTATTAACAAATGAATACCCTGCTATTCACAAATGAATACCTCTCTCACACATTTCATCAAACAGCCCAATCCTCCCAAATACAAAGCCAATGAACCCGATGTCAAATACGCCCTCCACACCACACAACGCCAACAAAGACAAATAATCCTCAATTTCAATTAATTATCGATTGCAATTGATAATCTTCAAAATGCAATTCTGGAAATGCAACAAAAAAATGCTCCAGTTGTTGATTTTTGTTGTTGTCGCTTCTCAAAATTCAAACCACACAACGCCAACAAAGACAATCGTCAATTTCAATTAATTTTTTTGTTGACCTGGTGGATGGAAACGAGAAATCAGAAGCTTAGGAAGGAAGCTTATTAATTGAATTTATGTTAAAATGACAATCAAGGAAATCTTACAAGGGCTTAATAACAATCGACATTATGAACTTGGACAACAGAAATACGAAATTGATTTAACTCGAACCTTTTTCCGGCCACCTCCGGTTGAGCTCCGCCGTTTCCCTCTCTGGTGGTCAGTGTTGCCGCCATCGGCGAGTACCCTGCTCTTATTTCTGTTCTCGTGACCACACAGCAACACAGGGAGATTGAGAACCCATGTGCGTTCGATTTATTCCCTCTGTATCTCGATTTCCTTCAACCAAATTACCTCAAATTGTGTTTGATGCTTCGAATCCACTCCCGTCTCCTCGTCTCAGATCCTCGTCTCTTCTGATTTTTAAGACCACACACACCCACCCAAAACGTAATTAGTGTTTGTGTTTTTATCCGGGATTTTAATTGTGCGATAGTCGACGATGGAGGATGGCAGAAGATGATGAACGAAAACAGTGGTGAAGAAGGTGGGGGTGTGCGGCCGATTTTTTCAAAATAATTAGATTAGGGTTTTCTAGTTAAGTAGAGAGAGAGAGAGAGAGAGAGAGAGAGAGATAAAGAAATTATAGGAATTTCTATTTAATTAAATTATATGGATTTCCTATTGTACCCTTCTTGCCATTTCAAAGTTACATATTTAGCACATCAGTTTTATAAATATTCATAAATGGTCCAGTTGATAATAGTCATAGATCTAATTATTTATAAGGTTGTGATATGTTCTCGCGTTCTCAACCTTTTAGGTGTTCTCATTTGATCCTACTCCTATATATATATATATATATATATATATATATATATATATATATATATATATATATATATATATGTATGTATATATACACACACACACATACTAGATGTCGACCCACCCAAAGGGGCGGCGATAAATAATGTTTTTTGTGAATAAAATAATTATTAGATTTTATTATTACTTATTATGTAATAATAAATTAACATTTGTAATAAAATATTTATGTTTATACCTTATATTTATATTGTCTGTTTATACTATTAATATAAATTAATTAATATTTTGGTCTAGTTTAAGAAATGTAAAATTTTCATTTTCTCCAAATTGAATATCTTAAGTACTTTTCTTATTTCAAATATTTAAACTTTTGGCAAGTATTAATGATCTATATATATATATATATATATATATATATATATATATAGATATATATATATATATATATATATATTATATATAAAAGTTGGATCGAGTGAGAACTCAAAAATAAGTAAGAACTGCGAAACAAATCTTTACCGCATAATTTATATATATATATATATATATTATATATATATATATATCTATATCTATATATATTAAATCTGAAGGAGCTTATGAATAGTAACTTTCCATGTTTTTGGTTTTGACCACAAAACTTTACATGCTTTAGGTTTTGGCCACAACAAGTTTGGGAAATTGACTATTTTAATCCTTGGATTGCTTTGTTTTGTAGTTTTAGCCACAATAAGTTTGGGAGGTTGACAGTTTGGTCCTTGGAATTCTACCGTCTTAATATTTACTTAAGCAATCCCTGCTTTAAAATTATGTTTACATAAATGGTCCCTATAATTTATAGAAATGGTCCATATATTGATAAAAAATTACAGAAATGGTCGCTTTGTGATTTACACTTTTATCACATATCTTTTAAATTTTTTCGATTTTCACCAAAAGCGGCGTAGCCGCGCTTTGTTTACTAGTTGAAAAAATAAAAGGTAGAGATTTGATTTTACTTATCGTCAATATCTCGCAAAATGATATGACATTTTTGTAATAATGTGCGAGATTTTGACATCTTCCGGCAAAAGTTAATTTTTTGGTGGTAAAAAAAATAGCCACTTCTGCCTCAATTTCTACACCCCTTCCCCTCCTATTTTCTCTCTCTGTCACATTTCAAGCCCTCATTTGGTATTTTCCATCCACTTTGTTTTTTGGCCATAACTTTTTTTTTCACTCAAAACAAAAAAAGATCTGAAAAAACCAAAGTTTTTAAAATTTAATTCTCTACAAAACGAACACAATCATGAAAATTTGAAAAAAAAATTATCTTTTTTATAAAAAAACCAAGAAAAAAACTTCTCCAAAAATCATTAAATTTAAACGATACTTCTACTCAATATACAAGTGTCTTTATAAAAAGAATTTTTCAAAAATATGTTTTTGAAGTATTATTTTTAATTTTAAGAAATATTAATTTTAAAAAATATATACATTGAACATAATATGATCAAAAATGTGATTATTCAAAATAATAATGATTTAAATAAAAACTTTTGATTCAACTTGTTTGTGATCCTTAATTTGTTATGATCTAAAAATATATAAACTCAAATATCTTATAATCTTTAATTATATATTTATGATTAAAAATTAAATTATTCAAAATATATAACTATCCATAATTCTTTTTAACAAAAACTATATTTAATTGAATATATTATTGATCCAAAATCATATGATTCCAAAATGATTTGATTCAAAATACTACGATTCAAAATAATTTGATTCAAAATTTTCAGATCCAAAAATAATATGATTCAAAACAAAGTATGAATGGAAAATATTATGATCTTTAATATTTTTCTTATTTAAAATTTTAAAATTGTTAAACATTAAAAACTCAAACTGATAACTAATTTAAAAAATCAAAAAACAAAATCAAAAAATAAAAAACAAAAATAAAGAAAAACAATAGTACCTTCAGATATGTAGTAAAGATATTTAAAAAAAAACGATAAACATAAATAATAATATTTTTTTTTAAATTAACGAAAAAAATAAAAAAAAAACTAAAAAAAATAAAACCGTTAAAACCGAGCATATATCTATTTAAAAGAAAAAAAATGATTTTTTAATAAAAAAAAACAAAAATAATTAATAAAACACTTGAATGGCGTTCCATGGACGTTCACCGCATGTGATAAAATCCTCGAGTCCGTAGTAGTTACTACGGACGTGGGTGGCACGTGAGCACACCATAACCAAGTATTTGAGTTTGACGAGTGTGTCTTTGACGAAATGGGTGGTGGAGAATTGTCCTCCCAGTTCTCATCATTTTTTAAGTCATCACCGGAACCGAACCCTATATATATATATATATGTTTAGGTTTTATGGAAAACAAAAAACCCTAAAAATCATTAAAATGCATAAAAAAAATACTTAGAGATCGCAAAAAAAAAAATTTGAATTTTTTTATCAAAAAATCGTAGCTTTTAACATAAAATCGCTGAAATTTTTTTTGAAAAATTTTTTTTTTACAAAAAAAAAAAAATTGATTTTTTATTTTTTTTTCAGCGAAATTGTCAAAAAGGCTGCGATTTTTTGATAAAAAAAAATCAAAAAAAAGTTTTGTGATGTCTTGGTATTTTTTTTATGCATTTTTATGATTTTTAGGGTTTTTTTTATATAGGGAAGGGTTCTTTGGAAAACAAAAAAACCCTAAAAATCATAAAAATGCATAAAAAAAAATACCTAGACATTACAAAACTTTTTTTTGAATTTTTTTATCAAAAAATCGCATCCTTTTTGACAATTTCGCTGAAAAAAAAATAAAAAATCAATTTTTTTTTTTGTAAATTTTTTTTTTCAAAAAAATTTTCAGCGATTTTATGTAAAAAGCTACGATTTTTTGATAAAAAAATTAAAAAAAAAGTTTTGTGATCTCTAAGTATTTTGTTTATGCATTTTTATGATTTTT